TGATGTACTAGAATGACTGGTCATCCTCTGGCTTTTCATGGTCCCCTTGGGATGAAAGTTAAAAATTTAATCTCCAAGTGCCACCATGTGGTCAAAATTCAAAGCTGTCTAATATTTATGCGTTAACATCTCGTGATGAGCTGTAGAGAGGAAGAGAAGACCAATTCAAAAACTAATCCAATATGTCTGCAACTATTGTTCAATAGGGCTGCCTGCCCTGTACAACTAGTGCCAAATAGCATTTGAGGCGGAAATAAATCACTTTGCGGTTATTAGTTGCAGTTACTGGTTAACGCAGCTTAGCGAGGAAAAGGGAGCAGTTAGTTTGGTGCAAGGCATCTGTGCTAATGCAAACATGGCAGAATTATTGACACATGAGACTGAGATCACATGGGGATCTAAATTATGCTCAAAACATGATTAATCGTGCAGCCCCAACAGATGGTACAACCTTGATTTAAAGTATGAATAGGAATGCATGAGGATCTACGCAAAGTGTGATTTGGCCTTTACTGTAGTTTTTTTTTTTTAATGCTGTGAAAACCACAGACCATTTATTTTGTCATACTGAGATAGAAGCAGAAACCTCAGAGACATAGATCTCAAAATCTTAACAAATTAAACCATAACTATGACAAGATAAGATACCGCATGAAGTATTTTGTTTTTAATCAACTAATTAATTTTTGTAGGATTTGGGTAAACTGACCCTTTAAGCATTAACTCGAACAAAAGCAACCATCTCTGAAATGTGAAATGAAAGTCCTGAGTGTGTTTAAAACTTCTGGCATACATATGGTTTCTCCAGGAAAGGAGACAGTGAAAGAAAGGCTATTTTATTGTGCTCATTTTAATTATTCAACAAGAAAATAAAGAAAGCCTCTGAGAGATCCTATGGCAGAGCATACTCTCTCACTGTCGCGCTCCTGAGTCATTCACTAGGAGAATATAACACAACTTGGTGACTGGATTTCCTTGCAGCATGCTTCGTCGTCATTTCTCTTTGTTGTCAGACTTTCTGGCCGTTGTTTCAAAAAAAAAACACAAAAAAACAAGTTTCTCTTCATCAAGCTTCAAAGAATAGCTGCGCTGAGTGGGGTCGCTGCCGACTGGTGGTGTCGTTGCTGCCTGATTCTAGACGAGCTCTGCTACTCTCTGACACATGAAAATTCAAGCCATTATTGATCATAAACAGAACAGAAAAAAACTAAAACAGTACTTCAATAAATCGCTACATTAATATTACTGTTACTCAAATAACGCTCAAGTGAGGCTTTAGAATCAAGCAACTATAAAATTGCTGCCAGGAAAGTCAACCTTAAGAAACCAGGACCCCCCCCCCTCAAAGCAAAGCTAAAGTTAAAAAGATTAAATAAAAGCAAATGTTTTAAGGCTGTTATTTAGTTAAAGCCACAATCTGGGACATATAATGCAGAAACAACCACAGCTCATCATTTTCCTTTTGGATCAGAGTTGGATTGTTTGCTGCAGCAGCAGAGGAACCGCGTCCTAGTTGTCGCAGTCAGCGGGGAGGGAAAACTTTTTTTGGACCCTCACAGATGAATGTGCTTTTGTAGCGTTACAAACAGCTGTGGTGATTTCACTTACCCACGATTATGGCTTTAACTGAGCTTAATGTCTTGAGCATTCTGAACTCATTATAGCAGAGAAAAAATATTTTTATACAGTGTTTTCATTCACCAATACATGTTTTCTTTTGTTGCTTTCCAGCTCTGTAGTTTCTACTGTGTAGTTTTCAAGGTTGGAGTCAATTCTGTTTCAATTCACAAAACAAAGTGGGTGCGATTTAGTCAGTAGAAGCATTTGTAATTACAAATTGTTTGCCAATACTATGAATACATCAAGCTTGTTAAATTCAGATTCCACTGAACTGAAATGTTCTTGACTCCATCCCTGGTTTAGTCTTCATAAATGGCTTGTTGAAGCACAGTTCTGTATAGATAAAAACAAGATCTCATGTTCTCCTCTTTTCAGCCTCCAGTATTTAGATCCTGCAGATATACCTGTAGTCTCTTTTCACTGCACTAGTGTTACTAATCATAGTACTTTAATGCTTCTTATATCAGGAAGGTTTTCAGTTGTGATAAGGCAAAACCCCGTTCTATTACTGCAATGGATGTCCGCAGTGGCAACTGTGGGCTTCTTGTAGACATTTGGTTCAATTGGAGACATAAAGTGGTGTGAGGAAAGTCGTCCATGAGAATCTGGCCTCAGTGGGCCAAAATTTGATTTGAACAAACTTTTTTTTTTGAAAGCCAAACACTCCTTATTTATCTCCAATTCTGAAACAAGTGGCCAACTGAAGAAAGATTTCTGTCAGACAGATACAGTTTGAATACAGCTTATACATCAGAAACAGAAATTCCAGCTGATAAACAGTATTAATTTCTCAAGGAATACATTCATCTGTGTGTGGCTGTGTTTGTATGAGTACACTTGAATGTGTGTGTGTATACGTGTGCTAAAGTAGTAATTGTAAGGGTGATGGTGAGTAAATATTTGGGGCCAGGTCAGGGGCTATAAGGGTTAATTTACTACCACAGTACTTTGGTCTTAGAAATGATTGGAGGATAGAAGGGGAGCAGTGAGCCAATGGTGGTGGATCGATTTGTGCAAATTGTTCTGTTTGGCAAACTGATGTGTATCTATGTGGAGGAGGTCTGTAAGTAGTAGTATTTAAAATCATTTCAAATACTTCTATGTGATTTATCAAGTTGGCACAATGGCACCACAGTGGAATCAGAGGAATCCAAGTGAAACTAAAAAATAAAAACTTGGGAGATGGGACGAGAGGAAAAAAAACGGAACTGCTGATAAAACACAGTGGAGCTACGGTGTATCGGGAAGGAAGCTGTGAGTTTTAGGTCTTTTCCTAAGAGTCGTTTTTTGATTTTGAACAGTGCAGATATGTTTCCCCTGTGGGAATTGAAGACATTCATTTGAAGATTAGAATTTTTAGTTCGATTTCAAAATCAAAAACGTACAATTCTAAGTGAGCAGGTAGGTAACTAACTTGGAATTCTGGTTTCTGAAAAGTCTGAAAGGTTTCAAAACCATGTTGTACAAATAAAACAGTCAACTCTGTTGCAAATATAGAACTTCTCTCTCGCATCTGTACAGCGTTCCCTCTTTAGGAGAATGAGGAGCAGGTGTAGCAGTGGTTCACCAAGAGAAAAGACGGCATGTTTTTGGCTCAGCAGAGAGCACAGCACGTTCCTCTTGGTAGAAAATAGGAACTCAAATGTCTTGTCCATCGTATTTGTCTCTGTTGGTGTGCGCTTCTCACATGAGAGGTTCAAAACAGTCAAAACACAGTCACATGACAGAGCCATGCCATAATCAAATAATAGAATATTAATGATGAGGATAATAGGAATAATAAGAAGACCAGTAATGAGAAGAATAATTAATAGTAATAACAACATATCATTCTAGGTTTTTTAAATTCTGTATATAAAAACAGTGGTGAGGAGAAGTTGATACCCATTAGGAAGGACTCTACTAACCCCTTGCTTGTTTTGGCACATTATAGTCACTCTCTGGTGAGACCTACCTACTCATTCCTAGCACAGTTGAATATTACTGTTGCCTGGCGACCCATCCAGAGTTTCTCATTTTGATCATTTAAATCTCTCAAATCATGGCAAACCTTTCAAACGGTTTGCTCTCGCAACGGTATCACAGGGCACGATGCAAAACCAACCTCCCTAGAAAGGGAAACTCTCGATCAAGCCATCGCTGTAGTGAGAATTGATGGGGTTAATCTGCCGTGGTCAGGAATGATGAATGTCATTCTAAAGGTCTTTTCACATATAGAGCGATACAAATAATTTATATGAAATAGCAATGCTGATTCTGCTAAATACAAGGAGTGCATCCTATACTGATTAAAAAAAGGCAGCTTGGTAAGTTTCACTACTTGGTGCAGAGGCTGAAACTGTACCGTGGTCGTTTTTGGACCTACATCAGGATGTCTGTACGAGTTGCACTTGCAGGTTCGGTTGACCCGGAAAGCGCCTGGCCATATGTCTGATGGAAAATTTATACTGAACATGAGTTTAATAAATAGGTTCAGCTGATGGTGTACAATGCGCTTGTGGTAACAATGTCACAACATTCCAGCAAGCTGCATCATGATTGGTCGCTATTTCCATTGTCGGCAAAAAAAATGGTGGGGGGGTTGGGAATCGACCTTGGGGTAAGATTAAAAAGTTGCTTTTTGCTCAGCGATATTCCATTGTTGGTGCGCAAAAAATATTAGCTTCCAGTGTGAAAAGATCTTTAAGGCAGATTAAAAGTTGCCACGCTGTTCAGGATGGGTTACCCGGCAGTATTTAAGGTTTCTATGCTTAATATTGATTCTTTTTTGTTGTTGGCTTGTTTTGTTCGTTCAAAACTTAGTACAAATAGCTACATTAAGTCTGAGCTATCATTTTTATTACATTACAAAAAGTAACTCGGTCTTTCTATAAGTTATGATTCTTGTTGTTCAATATGATATATTAGTTTGGTCCACTGTCATGATTTCCAAAGCAAAGGCTTCGTTTGTGTAAAGTGTAATCTGTGTGTATCCATGTACACTAACTGGCCACTTTAATATTCACACCTGTACAATTGTATGCACTTCAATGCAACACTTATGCCTCAACATCTGTGTTTATGAAGCTCAAAATGTTTGTTTTTGTAAAAACAAATTGTCAAATGTATAAATTCAACTATATGTTCATTATTGAGGTATTAGTTAAAGGTGGTGGTGTGCTGGACTACATTATATTTAGAGGTGTGTCTATATTTTTGTCCTCCCAGTTACATACATGAGAGGGTCCGAATATTAGGAACACCTCTGAATATAATGTAGTCCAGTAGAGCACCACCTTTGACTATGACCTCAATAATGAACATATAGTTGAAATTATACATTTATGACAAATTTCACCCAAAAAAAACATTTTGAGCTTCATAAACATCGATGTTGAGGCGGAAGTGTTGCACTGAAGTCCATACAATTGTACAGGTGTACCTAATCAAGTGGCCAGTGAATGTATGCGAGTATAATGATGCTGTAGATTTTTTTTTTTCTAAAGTTCTGTGTGTTTGTATTTACAGGTCTTTTGTATCTGTATCAACATGTTATGGGTGCAGTGTTGTTATTTTTCCATCTTCTAATTGTTTTGGGTCTTCAGGTGTGGGATCAGGCCTTCTGCTGGGCAGACACTCCCTTCCAGTAGTCCAGTATGTCGTGAAGATCCTCATCCTTGGCAAACTGAACCTTTCGCCTCAGCGCATGTCCGGCTGCCACGTATCCTTCGTCCTCCATTGATGCCTGTCGGTGCCTCTTGCGGTGCAGTTTGAACCTTTCCCACAATCCCAGAGTTGGGGTGCAGAGTAGCCCTTCTTCCTCTTCGTCTTCCTCAGGGCTGGAGCAGTAGCTGAGGTTGTGGTACTGGGGCGAGAGCGGGTAGTGTGGCGAGAGCTGGGAGTAGGCCAGTTCTCGCTGCTTGGCCTGCCTGCTGAGGGTGAGGGGGTCTAACATAGAGGGCTTGCAGCCCCCTGGGTGGTGGTGGAGCTCTTGCATAATCTGAGGATGATGCTGCTGCAGCTCCTGGAGGTGCTGCTGGGAGCCAGGATAGGAGTGGCGGTGTTCGTTATACTGGCGGATTCTCTGGGCTTCAGCTCGTAAGATAGCCGCTGCTGGGGTGACTGTGCGAATGGCCTCTCCTCCCCCGCCTCCCCTTTCTCCTCTCTCTCCGGGTGAGGTCCTCTCAATGTACCGGGTCTCTGATGAGTGATAACCTCCCTCTGAGCGGAAGGACCGCGGGCTGCGGGCAGAGCCAGGAGAAGAGGATGTACTGGGCCTTTTGGAGGTCGGAGGAGCCTCCATGCTGTGGTGTCGCTGCAATGAATGATGGTAGCTTCTCCCTCTCTCATCCCTTCCTCCTCTCCCTCCTTTATACACTGGGGAAAGGAACTCACTTCCTCTTTCTCCTCTCTCTCCTTGCTCAGAGAGAAGCACCAGCTGTGGCTCTGCAGTTGAAACAGCCCCTCCACCTGCAGAAGAGGGGGATTTGATTCCCTGTTGAAAGGAGGTAGACTCAGATTTGAGAGCATCTATACAGTTGTTGATGATCTGGTTAACCTTATCAACCTCTTTAGCGATGGTAGAGATCTCTGCTACAGAGCCCTGTGGATTTGTTTGCGGTGACATCTCCCTTTCTCTCTCTCGTTCTCTCTCCCTTTCAATGCCAGAGCCTCTGACCTCCATGTAGTTAAGTTTAGCTGGCTTGTGTGCTGGTGTTTCTATCACCTCCTGCAGCTTATATGGATCTATTTCACCACCCTGAGGCAGGTAGGGCATTCTGGACATACTGTCCCCAGCAGCAATCTTCTGAGAAACAGATCCTCCATTCCCTCCTTCTATATCTCCTTCTCCACCATACTTGAGCTCTATCAGTGTCCTCTGGATCCTGCTCATCTTTCTTTCCTTCTCATCCATGATCCTCTTCTTCCTCAGGCAGTGGACAACGAGGCCAAGGAAGAGCAGCATGCCAAACAAGCAGCCCAAAATAGTCATAATGTAGTGAGTGGCTGATGACTGATTGGCTACTCTGTCAGCCCCACCCTGGCGGCCAGTTGAGATAGTCAGACAGGTGTGGTTGAAGCGCAGGGAGTTCCGTATAGAGGCCACACAGTATGTGTAGTCAGTGTTAGGTTTTAAGTTCTTTAGTTCAATATCTTCTCTTAAATTTCTCAGATTCTGGATATCTGTGAAGAAACTGTTGTTATAAAGTACAAGGATGTACATTTTTCTGAATGGATGAGGGATCTGAACTGTTATCACAGCGCTCGAATGTAGCACCTGCTTTAGCGTCATGATCGGATTGATGTCAGGGAAAACAGGGCTAAAGCTGATTGGGAGCTCATCAGGAGGGGTCCCAGAAGCACAGTCTTCCAGTCCACAGGGGGAGGCAGAATCTGGGGACATAGTGGTTGAATCTGCTGAGCCGATGACATAGAAAGATGTCACGCTGCTGCCATCATCTGTGCATACAAGACTGAGCACATGCAGAGCAGTGCGTTGGGTAGGCATACGAGGGTTTTGGCTCAGTAGGTTGAAGCCAGAGAAGCCATCAGGGGAGTCGCATACCATCCTTTCACTGGTCCTGTTGGGGAAGGCCGAGAGCCAGCGCAGGAAACCCAGCAGCTCACAAGAACAGTTGAAGGGGTTGGTATAAAGTTCACAGGTGGTCAGTTTAGAGAGTCCAGAGAACAAACTGCCATCCAACACCTGGATCCTGGGATGGACACAAAGAGAAGAATCATAAATTTTAAGGGAAATTGTAGCATTCAGATATACTCACATAGTTGAATACACTATAACTGATCTGTTGTATTAAATAGTACAATTTACCATTACACATCTACAGTATACAGTAGTTCTTCTTCCCTTTCAAATATCTGGGACCTACATTGCCCTCAATGCAGCTTGTTCATTCAGAGTTCAATTGAGGTTGGTGACATTTAAAATGCCAAACTTGTAGTTTTCAGCCTCAAGACTGACTCCGATGATATCACTTGAGGATATCATCAGTCTATGCAGCTTCCTATGGAGCCACAAATGGTTTCAACAACTTTTTTCACAGTTATACATCCCAAGACCTGTAAATAGATGTAGGTGTGTAAATTCAGTGCACTCCCACTTCGGATGCACTTCTTCCTCAGTCTTCCTAGATTTCAGTTTGTAGTCTGAAACAAATACCTTTAATGAGCCCAAAACAACAGTCAAGCTTGTTCCTCTCAGTTGTTGCTTTTACCTTTAGATCAAGTGATCGATACCAGTTTCAATAGTTACCAGTAGTAAAAACAAGACAGTTATTCCCACTGATAAAAAGTAGGGACCTCAGCCTGAAATAAGGTCTGTGGTTAACACACATGTTGTTCAACAAAATAAAATACATTAGCAAATACCCTACTCGTGATTGTTTGTATGCTTTTACATGTCTCAAAAAGGGTGGTCGCTAACAAGTGGATAAATTAGATTACAGAGGCTGTCTGCGATATTAAGCATCATAATGCTGGACACAGAAACTTGCTAGCCTGTCTTTAGCGCCTCATTATGTTGTGCACTTGCAGACTATGCTAACTGACACAGCCATGATCATTAGCTGGATCAGGTCATACTAAGAGGAAAGGATTTTGTAGAAGAGGTCAATACACAAAATCAAATTACATGCTGGAGGTCGTGGTGGTGATGGTGACGTGATGGAATTGTGGTGTAGGTTGTTTATAGCCTAACAATAGCTTCTTTGATTATTTGGGCTTCAAAAATTGATTTGTGAGGATTATCTTGTTGAACAAAAGGTGTAAGCATCAAACTTTTGTTCGTCACAGACGCTACTTTCTGCAATGTTTCTAAATCTTATGGAGAAGTCAGACTGTTTTTTGTTGAGGGAACCAGGGCGATGCTAGCTTCAAGGCTGGCTTACAGAAATGCATCATCTTACAGCACTCTGTTCCCCACATTTAGGCAGATGCATCAGAGGAGGAGATGCAGTTTTACATTTTTATCCTAGGTGACTGAAATGGTTAGTCATCAAATGAATTCATCAGAAAAATAATTTCAGCACTACCATGTTTTCTGTCTCTTTTGTCACATACACAGACGCTGGTCCATACCTGTTCATGGAGAGGTCGATATTCTCTATGTTGGGACATTCCCAGAAGGTGTTGGGTGTAACAGTCTCGATGAGGTTGGCTTGCAGGTAGAGGTACTGCAGCTTGCCCAGGCCTCGCAACATTCCTTCCGTCAGGTTCCTCAACTTGTTAAAGCCCATCTGGAGAACCTGGGGAGACAGAGACAAGTGGGATTATTCTAATCTCTGAAGAGCCGGTTGGCGCCAGGCATCACTCACTACAAGCTGGGAACATGCGGAACAAACAGAAGATGGTTCAATGCAATTCATGTTTCACATGGCGATCTAAGCCTTTATGCTGCGCTGAATTTACTCAGATTTTTCATGTTCACATATCTCCTGGCAAAGCTCCAGCGGCCTGGGTAGATGTGTAAGCATGCCAGCTCATTATGGCCGCGCTCAGCTCAGTGTGGTGAAACACTTTTGCCTGAATGTTTCTGGAAGCCATAATGAGCGGGTGTTGTCTTTCTTTTGAGACTGCGTCCATCTGTTTGTGTAGTGGTGGAATGATTTAGATCCTTTACCCAAGTAATAGTTTCAGTTCCACAGTATAAAAAAACTCCCTCTGTCTTTCTTTCAAAATTTTATTTGCATGAAAATATGTAAATAGCTGCACAATGTATTTAAGTATGACCTCAATAATAAACATATAATTGAATTTATACATTTATGACAATTTCACCAAAAATCTAAACATTTTGAGCTTCATAAACACAGATGTTTACAGCAGAAGTGTAGAGGTGTACCTAATAAAGTGGCCAGTGAGTATATACAGTATATATATATAATCTAACCAGATTATTAGCCTGGTGATGTCAGCAACAACTTAAAATCTGGGTAAAGTAGAAATAAATGTGTTCTGTCATGTCACAGGAAAATGTTATAAACCATCCAGCCAAATTTGAATAATTAAAAAATAGCCAAGCGTATAAAATTTGTTTCAAAATGATGGAAATCAAGATAATGTCAGCCTTGCCTGGGGTCTGTTAATCACCGCCGGCACGTGTTAACTGTAGCCAGCTTGCTAGGCTAATGGCTAATAGCGGTTTAGATGTGGCTGCCCAATGTGGCACCTGCATGGTTCGCTGTGTCCGTGTGGCCGTTGATCTCCCTCATACCCCTACAGTTGATTTAAACTTTTTCATGTGTTTGTACCTTTGTAATTGTTTAACAACAAGGCAGCTGCATTAATGCTATTTTTGTGTGCCCCTAGATTTTAGCCTGTGATCTTAATTATTAGTGATCAGATTCTTTTCACTGGTTTAACGGTAGGAACAAAAGGATCTAAGTCTTATCAGAGAGCAGATCTTTTTATCTTTGTGCCCAAATTTTACTGCCTGTGTTTTAAATCTACTTCACTAAGTGAGAGAGGGCACGTTGGTGGTCAATTGAGCTAGAGAGTAAATGAAGAGAGGGAGCAGCGCCAGCAAAACAAAGCAGTGAATCAGAGAAATAAAATGTTGTTTTATGATTATTTCACGGCGATTATGTTCTAAAGCACAAACTATCCTGGCCACACCTCGGCACAACCATGCAGGGAGGATTTTATGTGGCCACTTTGCCTTGCACTTTGTGTAGCTAAACCCTGCCCTCGGTCAAACAGACAGACACACAGACTGGATGCATGCAGCGCTTGGATTATACCACAAATATGGCAAAGATAAATAAATAGAACGATGAGTCGTTCTTTTGAACAGCTCTATGAAAGGAACAGAGCCATAAGATCCAGCTGTTTTCAAACAGCTGCTCTTCCCATCACAACCTAAAACTAAGTGTGGAGCCTTTAACAGCTCTAGCTTTTATAACATTACAGTATTAAGGGGAGGAGTTATGTTATGCTTTCTCAAAAGATGCTGAACCCAAAAATTATGAAAAACTCCACAATTCAGCACCACATACCACATTTTCTAACATGTATAATGTGTTTAGAGACAAATCACTGATTTTGTCTTCCCCAGACTTTAATGCTGCAGCTGGTTACAACCAAGCTATGCATTCGTATACAAGTACATGATGTCATCACTCACCTGCAGGTTGAACTGTGCTGAGAATGCGCCGTCTTCCACGTAGCTGATATCGTTCTTGGTGAGGTTCAGATAGGTGAGGTTGCCAAAGCGACTGAGTGAAGAATAATGGACCGACCGTATCTTGTTCTCATTCAGCCTCAGATCCACAATGGTGCTGTTGAGAAAAGTGCTGCAGATGTTTAGCAAAGAGGCAAAGCAATGTATAGAAAACAACTTGCTTTCATAGAACAGTAAGTTTCTCTTACCTGTTAATGTGAGAAGGGATGGCCTCATAAGGAGGCTGGTTCATACTGCAGATGGCTAGCCACACAAATCCCTTTTCCCCTTCAATAAGCCAGCAGTCAGCTGTTACCATTGGTAACCGCATTATTGACAGAAAGATGAGCCAACAGAGGAAGGAGCTGGCGGTGGACAGGACCACTGTTGAAGAACCTCTGGTCACGTAATGTCTCTGCCGTCCTTGGCCTGTCCTCTGTTCCATTTGGGATGTCACTGGAATATCCATTGGAGAAAGTTGTCCAGAGGTGTTTGCCATCTAACATTTATTTATGCAGGCTGGCACCATTTGAAAGGGAGTGAGGGCTTGTTTATATTTCAATGCACGGTGACTTGGTGTCTGTTCTGCTTTACAGAAAGTGTAGTCACAGCATGGTAAAACGTCCCTGTTTCTCCTTAGCTTTTATTGTGTGAGTTGTGTTAAGCTCTTGTTTTAATTAAGGATTCATCAAAGTAGAAATTAGTGCAGGAATAGGATGTATCACTCCATTGGCAGTATGTGTCTAGGTAAACCGTATCACTTGTTTAATTAGGGGGTCACATTTGTTTTGTTATGTCTAACTCTGGAGGTCGTCCTGGCGCCAGATTGGCTGGTACTCATGTCTTCTGTGGCCATCTATATCCCTGATTGGACAAGCACCTCTTTTCTTTCTTCCTCATTGCTCACTGCTCTGTACTTGGTGTGAGAACTCGTCCCTGCAGTCGGAGAGAGACAGAGAGGGGAGGAAGGTGTTAGAAAAGAATCGCTAATGAAACACTGGTTTATTTGGTGACATACCAACAAACACAACCCTGTTACCAACATGAGGAGAGAGAGGTGCAGCAGTTATTTCTTCTTTTTTGACAATCAGGCAAGCATACACACATTTCCTCTAAAGACGTTTTTTGACAAGTCCAATTAGTGCGCACACTGGTGCAGATACACAGCAAGTGTTTGGAAATCACACAGCTTGCTGAGTATGTACACACATTTTCTGCAGCACCAAAGGCCGAAGGGCCTTCATGGGCCTGGGCTAAGAATGGCCAGGGCTCTGGTGCTGTATCTAATTAATTAATCTGCTCTAAATAAAACATTTCATGGGAAAAACAACTGATGTCTGACAGAGCAGGAGTGACAGAAGGAGGCGGGGAAATGAAAGATGCTCACAAAGCTGTGGAGAGGCGAGGAGGAGGGAAACACTGGATCAAGAGAGCAGTGAGGAAATATGTTTGGGGGAGGGTAGAGAGATGTCAAGATGGCACAAAGAGTGAGGTAGAGGGAGTGAGGAAGTGGTGAAAAGAAAAAGAGGCAGTGATCGTGTGAGAAAAAGAGGGGCGGCCCGGATGACAGAGGGATATAGAGAGGGCTCTCTGTCTGTCTGTCTGTCTGTCTGGGGAGCCTGCTAGAATAGTGGCTCCCTTTTCTCTGTGAGAGTCCGTTTCCCAGCTATAGGAACAACAAACAGGATGTGACATCAGGAAGGAGAAGGAGCAAAAGGTCTGGCCTTCCCCTCAAGGATCTCTTGGTTGCTGTTCCCTCCTTATTGATTAGAGATGAATAGCGAGGCGCAGAGGTGCTGGTGTGTCACCTCTAATCTGAGACGGAGGGTAAATGAGAGCAATTGCTTTTTGAGAATGGGACAAAGCTTCTCTGAACCTTTTTGTGTCCTTGTAGAGAGCAGAAATCACATGGTCACATCCTGGCCGGGCTGCTGTTTCACTGGCTTCTGGATGTCATTACTCCTTCATAAATGAGGGTCCCTTTCATCTTTCTTTCTAAAGAAGTGAAACATGTTTCTGGGGTTAAAGATAAACAAGTATCTACTAGAGCACTTTGAGCCCCTCGTCTTTTTAATCAATTAAACAGATTCATTAAGATATAACTGAAAAAACTACAGCTGCCACAATGATTTGCCAGCATAGCAGCATGTGTAGTATACATCATTACAACTGTTGCTCCCTTAGCCACGATATTGACCATCACTCTTCCAGTATCATCGATCCAGCTTCTCCGCTGTCTAAACAAGGCGGCGATTCTACAGCCACACTAGCAGCTCAGTGATGCTGTGCTCGCAGTGACAACGCTAGCATGCTGATGTTTAGGACATATAATCTTTACTCTTTTCACCGTCTCAGTTTAGCATGTTGGCATAATATCAATCACTAATTAGCACTGAATACAAAGTACAGCTAAGGCAGATGGGAGGAGCTTTGTTTTGCAGGTATTTGGTCATAAACTGATGTTCTGGACAAATAAAAAATGTTGGTCTGATGACGGTGCTAAATAAAAAGTCACCACAACTGGTACAATTTTGAGAGCATTCATTAATTCCATGTGAATCCATCCAGTAGCTAGTGATCTATTTGAGTCTGGACTAAAGTGGTAAACCAACTGACCTTGACCACAGTTTGAAACCTCATGCATAGATACAGTATAACTACCAGTACCTGTTTTGAGTAGAGGGGTCTGCAACTTTACAAAAGTTTTCCGATTCTGAATTTAACTATGCTAATTTTTATGGGTTTCGAGGCGTTGAATTCAAATATGACCTTTTAAAAGCTGAAAAACTGACAAGTAAAGATAATGTCACCTTTTGACTTGAATAGAGAATACGGGCCGTTGTATTAAACTAAGAGCTTGGAGTCCTGAGCTGCAGTTTGAATTTAATAAGGGCTGTAGTTAAATGAAAATGTTTCTAGTAGTGCCTGAGACACAATACAAGCCTAAGGACCTTTTTGTATTTAAAGGAAATTATTCCTCATTAGATCCACTAAGAGCTTTGGTTATTCAAGCAAAATTCATACATTGCCAGTGCCATATCTTACAAACCACAGCCAATCAACAAGTCTAAAAGTTATTTTTGTTTTCAGAGGCCCAGAAATGAGCAAAGATGGATTCTTTTTGTTACGGGAGTGTTTATGTTGTAGACCAGCACTATGGAGCTTCAATTAGACTGATAAACAGATGCACCTCATATCACATCCAGGGCACTTTTTTTTTTTTTGTATCTCTACTGTAGATACATGCAACAACCACCTCCATAGTTTAGAGAATTCACAGGTTTAACTTTGACCATGAAAAACTAAAGAAAAACCTTAGCATACATGTGATGACATGATAAATGAAATATTTAGTATCAGGCAATTCAGTTAATGAAGCTCTACTGAAGTCACCTCATGATGACACACGACTCTTCCCTACCCAATAATACATTAGACACATTAAATAATAGAAATTATAAAAAAGTATTGCTATTGATTTTGGTCATTTTGGCCACAGTATTACTTAACATCATACTGAGAAGCAAACTTTGGGATATTGCACATATCCACTGCTTGGACCTCTTAGTTCAATATCCCCATCACTGACCTCTGACTGTCTGACTAAACTAAAGGAATGGTAAATAGACATTATTATTCTTAAAAACAAATATTTTATATTATAAAAACCTTTTTTTAAACAAATGTACCACTCACATCTAGACCAATAGAGTGAATTACACAACATATTATTATTAAGCAAGGTTATATTGTATTGGTTAGCTTTTAGCAACTTGTGTTATTGCTGATAACAGAATGATTTTGAAAGAGGTTTCAGTTTCATCTCAGCTCTTTAAATAAGCATCACAGATGTACACTGGTGTATGTGAGCATTTGTGAGAGCGTACACACACACAGAGGCTTTTCCAGCCAGTCAGCACAATGTGCAATTGATGGTGAGACTTCCTCCCACATAGCATGAGACAAACTACCCAGATAAGCCACCAGAGAAAGGGTCGGAACTGCTGCCAGCCACACTCACAAACAAACAAAACAGACACACATATGCACAGGAAATGTTCATTTTGATGACCAAGGGTTAAGCTCGGGTAAACAAACTGTTGAGAACGTGGGGGTGTACTGAGGATGCAGAGCAGGCGGAGAGACCAAACAGTTAGGTAAGCATGCAGAGACAGCTGATTCCTGCCTGCCCTCTTTTTGTACTGGCGTAAGTGATGTCGGCTGAAGGGCTAGAAGGCCGAACAGAAGTGCAGGGCAGCAGAGAGCATGGAGAGATTCAGTAGCAGTTAGAGCCTTGCTCCTGACCTCCTTTTGTAGTAGATACATCTGTAGCAGCTAACATGATACACACAGAAGAAGCTGTTAAGAATCTGCCTGCCTCTTTTCCATTTTGCATCATTCATCATTCATTCCCCCACAGCGCTAGCGCTCTCTGTGCATATACACACAGAGAGCGCTGCTCCGGCTGCTGAGAACAACCAGGTGGAATATTTCAGCACTCAGCATTATGACTGGCTTGCTTTCCATTCATGTCACGCTCAGAGATTTTCAGGGCACAAAGGGTCATATGGAGAAAGTCTTGCTTTACTGAAAGGGGGACTGTTGTGTGGTCTCAGTACTTGTACACAGACGGTGGTCTGTCGCCAAACGACAGGGCGTAAGCTCATTTAAACACATACAAAGCAGCCAGATTTGCTGTCAACAAGACAAAAAAAACTTGCATCCTTTGTTTTAAAGAATGTAGATATCTAAAAACCTATATGACTGGGATCCCTCCTACACATCACTGTACGTGCACACAGAAACACACAGTGCAGAGCCCTGTCGAACTGGGGTTTCACGTACTTTGCCAGTTCTCATATTACTATTCCAAACCACGGTGGAGAACAACTGCACCCAACAAATCTGCAAAGAGCCATCAACAGAAAAATGATGATGAAGGTGACTGGAAAGCACAAAGATAAATGACCCATGAGGCTCATATACTGTACAGTATGTGTGTGTTTGCAGTTACTGCAGATCCATGCTGTATGCATTTAGGGACTACAATAAGCTAAAGTCCTCTGAGAACAAGGTAATGATGAAGTTAAAGGCAGCTTCTTTTGTTTACTGTCCAAAACCAAAAGAGCAAGATGTTATTGCATGTGTTGCACTGTGGCATCAAAATGCAGTGTCATCATTTTCTTTTTGTCACATACCAAATATTAGGATATTCCAGGGGAGTTGAATTTTTGTTTATACTCCGGATGTCGGTATGGTATGGGCATTCAAAATAATGATAATTTATAATATCACTACAGTCCCAGTGGCCACACAGGCAGTGAACCAGCTGGACATGTGACATTGTTAAGCTGGAGTTGAGCCTCTCCAGGCTGCACACAAGCGAACGTACACAGGTGTCGCACATGTTCGCCACTACTGGACACGAACACAAGTGAGAATCTATAATGAATCTAAAGTAACAGCATGTGGGAATCAATATACTCAGTGTTGACAAGCCAGGCTGCTAACTAGCTGCCATTGCAGTAAATACAAGCTTATTATTATAACACAATGGCGCCTCAAATGTTGAATGTTGTAAAATGACAAATGACTACTGCAACATTTTGTTAGCTGAAAAATGGTAACAACTGCTTTGCTGTTCAGGGCTGGGGCACCACGGAAGTTCACACCATGGGGGAAAGTTACTAAAACTGTCGCAAATTACCGACAAATATGCAAAATATTGCAGCTCCACAATGTTTTTTTTTTTTTTTTTTTTTTTTTTTTGCCCACATATTCTGATATAAATGAGCACAGCTGCAGCCATTTTAATTTGAGTACGCCTCTGCATGGGACCTGGTGCAACATATGGACCTAGAGAAAGCTTAAAGTTCAAGAAAGACAAAATCAACAAATGCACTTCAGATTTTCAATCACAGTCTCCTGCCAGTCAT